GACCACCAGACTCAAAAATAAGTAACTAAAGATGGTCTTTTATACCTTAAAACAAACAAGTTGCTACGTCACTTTCTGAACAAATGATAAGACAGCAACACATGCCAATATTGTAATTAATTATACCTGAGTTGCAGACTAGACAACAGTAAGTTCTTTTCATATGTTCTGGGCACACAGCCAGCTTACCAAATACATGCCCTTTATCTCACTGACCAAGGACAGGCAGTATATTTACATATTTGGGTGCAAAGCCAACGTCTAGCCACTAGACTGCATAGTTTACAAAAAATGATATTATCTCACTTCCCAGGTGTCTCCCTTATCTCTTCATATTCCCACATGAAGAGGACAGGAATTTAAATTCACATCATCATTATTACCTAGAAATATTGTCATATGCTCTTCGGCAGGGGAAATAAAAACACCTCTTGTTTTCTCGTTCGTATTTTCTGAATGCCCTCCAGAACATGGTGATGCAGCTGGAGCAAACTGAAAATTCTGTTTTCTGAACATGAGCGACAGATTAGCAGCTGCAGATGTTTCGCAGGACAAAAAAAAACTCTTTAGCAAGCGGAGCCGTTCGGTTTGTCTCCTTGTGTAAAGACTGTCCTCAGTCCGCCATAAGGTGTATCGCTAAATGAAGATTAATGTTAAAATGGTGGGTGCTACAGCTGCACTGAAAATAAATCATGTATCTTATTCCCTCCTCCCCCCCCCCAGTCACTGGGTGTAATGCTTCTTGATTCCCAAACTCTGGCAGATGTAGCCCAGTGTATCTGTCCAGATGCAGTTTTCAGGACTGGTGAATCGTTGAAAGCGGAAAGGGTTCACTGGTGACTTCAGGGTTTTGGAAACGTGCTTATTCTGTGCACCCTCTCAATCCCCCTCCAGGTACATCTATGTCGTTCACTGTCCTGATGGGCCTGGGTTAGACATGCCCTTCGTCATCGACTACTCAGGCTTTTACATCAGAAGAGAAGGACTGGGGGGCAACTACATTACAGGAAAGTCCCCTGAGGAGGTGAGCAAGGAGGCTGGACTGGGTGAAGACTATGCATAGTGATGCAAAAACATAATTTAAGCAGACTGCCAAGTTACATAGAGAGTATCTTCTTTGAGGGTGCTCATCTGCAGCAGTGAGTTCCTCGGGTGGTTATCCCAACGCAGAAGTCAAACGATTTAGAACTGTAGTTTACAGCATAATCTACTGTTTAGATATGAAATGCTTTCTTTCTCTTGCTTCTCTGAGGTAGAATGTACAAATGCTTGACAATTTCTGGTCCAGAGTTTTATACCACACTTTGCCAAATGTTTGCTGTTGTTCAGGAAGAAGAGCCAGACACCGGTGACCTGGAAGTGGATCATGAGTTCTTCCATGAGCAAGTGTGGCCCAGATTAGCCAGCCGAATCCCATGTTTCGAGAGCCTGAAGGTGGGTCAGTGAGCAGAGTGTAAGAGATGAGGTTTTAGTACTTTCATTGACATTTGCATCCTGCAGCTTCAGTATATTATTTTAAAAGTAAGCTCTTTGTCAAAAATATGCTTTCCATCCATCATTGCTGCATGTTTATGATTCCTATATTAAGGAAAATTGATTTCTAAGAACAGAGGATCTCATTTAGACAGTGGCTTGATGGCAGTGATAAATGAGATCCACTGCATTAATAACCAGTGCCTGGAGAGCTTAAACTACACAATCTGTTTTCCTTTATGTAGCTATGACTTGGATAGCCCCTGCAGCTGCCTGAAAGTATACAGACAGGACTGAAACCAAGGAGAGAAAAAGAACATGGGATTAAGCTCTTCTTGTTCCTTACTATACACCATACTGTAAAAAAGGCGCTGTCCTTCAGATGAGACGTAAAACCGAGGTTCTGACTCTCTGTGCTCGTTAAAAATCCCAGGGCATTTCTCAAAAAGAGTAGGGGTGTAACTCTGGTGTCCTGGCCAAATTTCCCCACTGGCCTTTACCAATCATGGCCTCCAAATCATCCCCATCTATGAATTGGCTTCATTACTCTGTTCTCCTCCCCACTGATAGCTGATGTGTGGTGAGCGTTCTGGCGCACTATGGCCGCCGTCGCATCATCCAGGTGGATGCTGCACATTGGTGGTGGTGGAGAGGAGTCCCCATTTCCTGTGTAATGCTTTGAGTGGAGTGTCCAGAAAAGTGTCCACTGTTTACTTGCCTCTCCACCAGGTGACCAGCGCGTGGGCCGGTTACTACGACTACAACACCTTCGATCAGAACGGCATCGTGGGGCAACACCCTCTGGTCGAAAACATGTACTTCGCCACGGGCTTCAGCGGGCACGGCCTGCAGCAGGCGCCTGCCGTGGGCAGGGCGGTGGCCGAGCTCATCCTGGACTACAAGTACACGACCCTGGACCTCAAGGCGCTGGGCTTCATGCGCATCCTCACCAGCTCGCCCAAGCTGGAGAGGAACATCATCTGACCAAGCGACTGTGGACGGAGGCGGTGGCGGTTCGAGAGAGTTGTACGTGGGGTGGCAAGGGGGGGGGTCATGACAGATTCATTATTTTGTTGGGTAAGAAGATATCAATAGACTTTTAACTTGTTCAGTAACAAAACGGTTGTTTTTGATGCTTAATACAGGAAGCTTTTTTTAAAAAAATCTTATCATCAAGGTTGTGGTTTTAGTTGCATAGACCACCCCCCCCACCAAGGGTCACTTGTGTTTTCACAAGAGAAGGACACATCCAGCATCAGTGTAGTCATCGCCAAAAAGTCGCCAAAACTGGTCAGTTGTTTGATGAACACCAATCCTCCAAGCAGACAACAAAGTCCTGAATATAACGTTCAACACAATTTATTTTGCAATATCTTGACGTGTTGCAATAACGCTACAACGGCAAGGTTAAACAGGCTTCTCGTGACTATGAGAGCTGAAGGCGGCGATTGCCGTGGTGTACGGCGCATCGCCTCGCAAACTCGTCCAAATCCAGAGCTTCGTTGAGACTCCATGCTGAGAGCCGCTGTACTTGTTCAAGGAAGAGGGCATGGAAGTGATTCTTCACTAGCTGAAGAGCTGGAAAAAAAACTCCCTTCACATGTTGCACTGCTGGCTGGCACTACCACAACTGTTTTACATAACCGGAACAGCTCAAGAGAAAAAAACCTCTTTGTACGGATCCAAAAAGGTCAGAAGTTCGATCAGACAGGATGGATGGTCTTTCCCACTTTTTGTTTGTCGATCCAATGATCTCCAAGTTTGATGCACTTGATTGTTTGAGATCCTCAACATCTGCTCCCAATGCATTTGCCAATAAGAGAATAGCCCCCTCATTTAAAAAAAAACATGCTGCTTGATGGATTTAATGCCTGGATACCCTTCATGATCTCACAATCTTTTGAGTTGGAGAAACACCTTTTCATTTCACCAATCATACAGTCAATGCCGGGGGGTAATGTACTTTGAACTCAAAAAACTTTAACTGAATATTTAGGCATTTTTAACAATCTGCTAAAGGCATTTCATATTATATTATTATAATATAATTTCATATTATATTATCAGGTTTTCACAAGCCCTTTGTACCAAGGCCAGAGTTTGTAGAAATCTGACTGCTTGTGGTTGAAGCCACCATGAGCTGTGGTTGAAGTGGCTGTTACAGGAGGTGGGCTCTCTGGTGTCTGATCTGCCTCACCTGGAGCAGCCAGCAGGTGGAAGTGTGCCGCTGCAGTGCAGATATTCCCAAGGGAATTTTCACTCTTCCGGCAGGGCTCATTCCCGTTAATTTGGGCTGTAGCTGAGCATCAGTTTTCTCTGCCTCCCACTACATTCCTGCGTCTTCAGTAACTTGCTTCAAATATTTTGCCTTTCCTTTTGTTACACAAAATTGTATACTATTAAATTGGTTTCAGTGCTTATTAAATTGAGCTAGTTTAGGAAAATGTGTACAGTTGGGCTTTTTTTTTTTAAACTTACTTTCTTTGTATTTAATGTTTTAAGTCCTACACTAGAGTGAATAAGGAGCCCCCCTCTGGGGAACAATGTGTAGAGAGAGAAAGACTTCAGGAAT